TATTTGTGGTGATTGGTAATTTTCTTGCATCCTGTATCAACTTTCTTATTTATTGTAGTTTAGATTTGATCAATTGAACAATTATTGGTTGGATAGCTGAGTGGTTATATTTGTTTAGGTAATAATGTACACTTAAATTTATGATAAATTATAGAACCGCTATCTTACCCAATTGCTTTGTTTTGGTTTCAAACGGGCGAGGGCGCGTATCTAACTCATCCAGACAGCTGTCCGGCAGTCCAAACCATAGTTTGGATCTTACAGTTCTAAACAATCACCACAAATAACTTCCAATAACTTCTAGGTTGGCCGTCGAAATAACTTAACTCAACCTTTGGTAACTCGGGACTTACGAAAGGCGCCGTAGGCATCACGCTTTTTGCTTGCTTCACGTCTAAACTAAGGTTTTCTATGCCACCTGCCATTATATCACAACTAGATTCACTATAATTACAATCGTCCCTATGAGAATATGAACCATGACACTTAGAAGCATCATAAGGCACTTGCCTTGATTGAGGGGATCCATCCTTTTGTTCATCTCTTTTAGCATCCACGAGCCTTGGACTTAATTTCTTTCGACGATTGTTTGGCATCTCAACCGAACGACCAAATATTCCCAGAGACAATTATTGGAATCAACAAAACGAAAGCCAAACGAATTCGACCAAATTATTTGTTTAGAACTGTAAGACCCAAAAAAACTTGGCTATTAAAATGGAAAACTGTGCTATGGTCTTGGAACAGATGAATTATGCCTCTGATCTAAATTCCTTAGTTACTTTGGAAAGAATAGTGAGACTCTTGACTCAACCTATGCAAACCCAGTGGGCGGACTGGGTGGACGAATTGACTGAAGATAACAGGGAACCGACCTTTGACGAGCTCATTCAGTTTATCGCATCACGTGCGAGAGTGGCTTGTAGTAGATTTGGACGGTTAGCAAATCGTTCAAGAAAAGGACATAACGTAAAGACGAACTGTCACGTGCAATCGGAGCAAGGGAATAGTTCAACAACGAAAACTAAGTGCAGTATGTGTTCCTACGACCATGCTATTGATAAATGTCCACAGTTCTTAGCGCAAACAGTTCAAGACCGATGGTCTTACGCTAAAACCAAGGGTATCTGTTCTGTCTGTCTTAGACAAGGACATAAGGTTAATGAATGTAAGATGACAAGGCTCTGTAACGTTGACAGTTGTGAGAAGAGACATCACGTTCTGCTGCACACTGACTCGACAAGCAACGTCGTAAATGATAAGCCATCATGCCCGGAATATAGAAGAGTTGTTAACCATACCAGTAAGGTACAGACATTAGAGAACGAAATACGTGAGCTTTATGAAGTGGAGTTTTCAGATGCTTATTCAAGTGATAAATCATTATCAGTAGACGACAAGGCGGCTATAAAGATTGTGGAAGGGGGCACGCGCTTCGACAACGGTCATTTCGTAGTTTCTATATCGTGGAAAAAGAATCCAAATATGAAAGTGGATAATTATGAAGTAGCAAATCGTAGATTACAGAGTTTGAAGGGTATGTTGTGGAAGGATGTCAGTCTGCACATCAGGTATATCAAAGGTATTGAAAGTGATTTTACTAAGACTTATGCGGAGAGGGTCCTTGAAATATATTTGGATCCTAATTATCGCCCTCGAGGGTATTTACCTCATCATGCAGTGTTAAACATGAAAAAACCAGAAAAACTTAGAATGGTCCTTGATTGTACCACCGAGTTTGCAGGGGTTTCCATGAATGATATGATTTATCAAGAACCCGATACCACTGCTGAGTTGATGTGCATATTATTAAGTTTTCGCAAGGAGACAGTTGCAATCCCTGCAGATGTTGAAGAAATGTTCATGGAAGTGAAGCTCCCTGAGTCTGGTCGAGGAGCTTCAAGATTTCTGTGGTGGCAGGAGGGGGACATGTCGAGGGAACCATTTGAGTTTCAAATGACAACTCATGCATTTGGTGCCACATCATCGCCGTTTCGTGCGAACTTTGCCTTCAATAAGACCGCACAAATATTCTCTGACGATAGTGAGTTTAGAAAAACTGCTGTGGTTAACTTGAGTAGTATAAAGTACAACATGTCACCTATTCTCTCTTATTACTCCGAGTGGTTGAAATTAGTCAGGGCCGTAGCCTGGCTTAGAAGGTTCATAGAATTCCTGATGGTACTTCGTTCCCCGAGTCATGAAGGATCCGTTCATCTAGGATGTTTAAAGGTCAAAGAGCTCGACATCGCCAAGCGTAAAATTTTATTGATGGTTCAGAAAGAAGTGTATGGAGAAATACTTAGTGGATTTAAAAACAATGGTAAAGTAGTTAGTCACAATGATCTGAAGGGCTTGTCACCGATAATGCTTGATGGGTTACTCTGCGTTGGAGGTCGACTAAGATACTCAGATTTCCCAAATGCTTTTAAACATCCAGTAATTTTACCCAGTCGACACTTAGTGACAGAAATGATAATTAGACATTGTCCTAAAGAACAAGGACACATAGGAAGATCATTAGAAAAAGGGTATGGATATGTGTTTACTTGTTTGCAAACATGGGCAGTACATATTGAAATGATGTGTGGTTTGATTACCGATTCATTTATAATGGCCTTATTACGTTGTATTGGAAGAAGAAGGAAACCTCCGAAGATTTACAGTGACAGTGCGTCAAGCTTCGCGTGGGCAGTTTCTGAGTTAAGGAGGTTTGTGCAACAGTCGAATCAGCAGAAGATAAATAGTGAATTGTCAGCGAGGCCCTCATCCAACAGCATGGGTGGAGTTTGGGGAAGAGTGACTAGGTCTATACAACGAGTGTTATTGTTGAACACCAGAGAACAAGTGAAACAGGTCTCCTTGAAGCTTCGGATTAGTCTTTGTTGTTATTAATGTAGGTAGGTCGAGTAGGCGTGCTGTTGTAAGTCCTACTAGTACCCATAGTGTCATATGCTACATAATGAACCATGACCATAGGCATCAAGGTAGCTTGTGTGATATGGAGGGATTTTGGGGGCCGGTGTAAGATCCATTTTGAATGCTTTGTGTGTTGGTAAAAATCCCTCCATGTATATACTTGCACTTTGTTCCTATTGATCCTCTTAGTTGTACATTGTTAACTTTTTGACTACATTTGAATTGTTAATATTTGTATTTTCTTATAAATGTCGTTTTTACTACACCTTAACTAATTCCCCATGTTTCTTCCCGAACTGCACTTATGTTGTTTTACTTTGTACTAAGTCTGGGCGGCAGCCATTTTGGTTTATCCCTGCTTTTGATTGCTTGACCTGTGTTGACTGGAATTGTGCATTTTGGTTGTGAATTGAAGCACTCTTCCAGAATTGAAAACACTCTGTGTTATAGAGCGATCAATTATTACCTTTTGAACGAATCTGTACGTGATCTATCCAGACAGGATAGAATAACAGTTATTTGTGGTGATTGGTAATTTTCTTGCATCCTGTATCAACTTTCTTATTTATTGTAGTTTAGATTTGATCAATTGAACAATTATTGGTTGGATAGCTGAGTGGTTATATTTGTTTAGGTAATAATGTACACTTAAATTTATGATAAATTATAGAACCGCTATCTTACCCAATTGCTTTGTTTTGGTTTCAAACGGGCGAGGGCGCGTATCTAACTCATCCAGACAGCTGTCCGGCAGTCCAAACCATAGTTTGGATCTTACAGTATACGTCTATAGTAAACTGAAGGCTCACCAAATAATTGTGGTGGACCAGACAGTTTTGAGCGCGAATTTTATCAATAGAGTTACTGAAGATCAATAGTAATACTTATATATACCAGTTGATTGTTACAAAGACAATAAAAATTTGGGACGTTACCTAAGTTGACCAAATGTTGCGTGTTCTGATTGGGTCCGGAATTGTCAATCCACAATTATAAACGCTTGGTGATTCCGATCGCGTTGACGAACTCTCAAGTAATATAATCCAGCATAGAATGTGATATATATTCCTATTACAGTCTATAAATAATGATAGTATTTGATTCAGACTTCAGTTAACTCAATCACAGACGAAGATAGAACGAGGAATGTGTGAGTAGTAGTGTATTTGTTAGCCAACAAGAGTATGTCACGCTATGTCAGTACCATAACGGAAAATGTGTTCAAAGTCATTTACTAAAACAACAGTTACAGTCATTTAATGTTAAATATACGTTCAGTGAAAGGTTGACAAAGTAAATACAAATAACATTGAAAACTATTTGCAAAATAAGCTTGTCAGGCCTATCTCCACAGATGACTCACTATCTTCTGTCGCATAGGTGTGTATGTTTGGAAAAATGTGGTCCATAAATCAGTAGTCGGTGTCCCTCACTGTTGTTTGATGCAGTGCACTACGCAAGTTTTCACGTAGGATGGCTAAGTTAAACGCCCTTTATTAAAGAGCTTAAAAAGCTCTGCATTACATAGAGTATTGTAAATATTTTAACAGAAGTCGAAAATAGAAATGGTGATAACAGTCAAAAGGCTTTAAATGCAAACTGATATATAGGATGAACTATCTGAATATGAAATAAGCTGACTTTAACAACATGCCTACAAATGGTGAGTTCATAGAAGGGACCGAACATTCTTACGATATTTAAAAACTAAAACAGTCAAAAAAGATTTTAAAATCCTAATAAATCACCACTAGGAATACTGAAGCCGAGTGACCGGAGAAACCTCATTAAATTGGAATTAAGAGATGAAGAATGGCTTATCACTAAAATTTAGATGCAAAGAAACCTGCTATATTTTATCTAAGCTCTACCCAAAGTCATTTGAGATAGTTTGATTTATGCACATTAAATCCTGTCACTTTTGTTCTTACATGTTATTTTAAAATCCCTGAGTAGCAATTTTGACATTAGTAAAAAATGTTTGTTTATTGTCTCTACTCGAGAACTTTTTAGTCATAGTGATTGACTTTGTTTAACTACTTACGTTTATCGGTATTGATTGACCTTCTTAATGATGATTAATTTGAAGTAGCCAGAAGAGTATGTGTTTTTGTTCTTAAGAAATGTCACGTCAGAGTTTTCGCTCAACAATAGAGAAGCTTTGATATGTAACTGTGTTTGTAGGAGATAAGTAGATCAACTTTAGCAACTTCTCAATCCTATCGTTTTCATACGACTAGACTCCGTAGTTTCTAAATGCCTCTGTTAAAATCTTGACCAAAAGATATATGTAGTGGCCGTTCAATTGGTAGCTACTTGTTAATTCCAAAATTTCCTCATCTGCAGATTGTGGAAAGGCAAAAAATATGTGTAGAAACGTGGAGAATCGAACTTTAAGAAAGTGATACTTGGAATGTAACCTATTGAAAATAGACCTACCGCTGTTTCCACTTTTCAACACTCAAAAATGTGAGTACATTTGACTCTTCATTTTTTACATCAGCTGGCGTTTCGGTCAGAGGATAATAAACTGAAAATGTATCAATATTTCCTTGTCATCCAACCTAAAAACCCAATCTCACACTATCTTGGTTAAATTTTGTGGTTTTTCCACAAGTCGTAAGAAATATGGTAGTCTTGCTCAGAGTTTGAGAAAAACTTCCAAGTGTTATAATATTCTGTGAAACTGTTGGGGAAATCCCAAAACTTTGAGGATTTTTCCCAGACCTGAGAAAATTTCAGGGTTTTGTGCCATCTCCCCAATGTTTTCTATAGTGTTTCCCGCAAAATTTACCCAAACCGGACAAAGTTTTTCTTAAAATAGAGCAATCGGAGATCTTCAAATACGTTCAGTCGATGATGTAGGGATAATTATGCATTGGCTTAGTTTTTTCTTTGAGCTTTTAGTATCTTCATTACTTTCCACTTTCGACTGCTTTAGTTGATAGTTCAGATTACTGATTTGTGGAAAAACAGTGTCATCAAATACGGTATCCATCCGTACAAAACGTCTTACTGCAGCCACGCTCTAGCTCAATCAGAAATACGCCAATATCATACCTGAATTTTGTCGTTTTCAGTCTGAGTAAGTGATGTAGAGGTTAGGCAAACGGTACTTGGCATAGATGACAAACCATTCGATAAAGTAGTAAGATTTCACCGGCCGAGGTAGTTAGGACGCCCGTTACGTATGCCTAACAACCACCTACTTCGACAAGTGATGCTCATTAATGCTAAAGTGGATTAGAAGAAAGCTAGGGGCGGACAAACCGAACGCGCCATCAGTCTATGAAATCACTGACTGTTAGTGTAAACCCTGTTAGTAGATGCAAACTACCCGGTTAAGGTTCGCATGATAACGCCAATCAATGATTGAAGACGTAAGATGTCATGAATCAGAATTGGTGGGACTAATGCAAGTGCATTCTTTTTTTATCTTCTCAGTCTTGAATCCAGGTGTCCCTTTACACACACTTTTCCGCTCCGTTTTACCAAACGATATTACCAAGCTTTATTATTTCTTACTGTTATTGCTACCACAGTATTTTGATGTCTGTTGTTATTTCCATCTGGTCGTACTATGGTATGGGGACTTGGTCTAACACAGACCTGTACTAGGTTGTATGTTGATGATATCTATCTGTCTGTTTTTAATCAAACAAATTTTGAAATAACCTGACTAGCATGTGGATTTGTTTAAAAATATGGTAAAAAAAGATTACTAATATAGTTTATATTTGGTTTTTGCGATAGATAACGCCTGATACCCTGTCACCGGTAGTACCCACAGCCTTATCAATGTGTAACAACTCTAATTCATTCCAACGTGCACGTACATGGTTAAATAATTCACTTATTCTATGGGTGACATTATTACTCGCCAGCTACTTAGTCCTTACTTAATGGGTCGTACTGAGGCGAAAGCTACTAAGTAATTCCTTGATTTATTGTTCATTTAGTGGCCAGTACTACATGAAAAACTACATTATTTGGTTTGGACTATTGATAACACAGCTTTATAAAGATCGGGTTCATTTTAGTTGGAAAGTTTCTAGCAGTATCCAAAAATTTTAAGGTATTAATACGTTCACCAAGTCATCGACAGTTTTCGATGTTTAAGGACTTAAGCACTTACCCAACTAAGCTCTCTCCATATATATATATATATATATATATATATATATATATATATATATATATATTCGTCTTTTATTGGTGCTTATTTTCTTTTTCACTATTATAGCTCAATGTAAACGCACTGGCACATATGTAAACAACACTTGAAAGCAAAAAATAGCATTCGGAAAAATTTACTGTAAAACTATTAGTTCGTGGTTCCCTATTTCTAACTCTACATGGAAATGTCTTCTTGGTCCTCAGATTTTAAAGAACAATCAAGGTTATGTGATGATCTAGACTGTGATATGGATTATTTACTCTCTGGAAGGTATGAAATACTGGCATCGGCCAATACCACTGTTCATTGTAATTCTGTACAGTCTGCATTTGCTTTACCAAAATCAACAAACTCACCCTTTTGCTCACCAAATCAGACACATCCTATAAATTCGATATTCCCTTGTAGAAAAGTCATTACATGCTCATGTCGGTGCTGTGATCCATTCTCAGATCACCTCAGTCATATGACAAGTATAAACCAAGTACATGATAAAAATATTGACTTTCCGTGTATTATTATGGATGATAATGATGTTGATGTTGATAATGGCGACGATGAACAGCCTAAATTAAATTTAACTGATCCATTAATGACGGATATTGCGGCTGGGGAATTAGGTTAGTATATTGGCTTTATGTTGTTATGTTTCAACTGAATTGAACTTTATTGTTGCGGATTTCCACTAAAACAAAAATGTATACTTGTTTTTAACTTAAAATATGTACATGATACTCTACTAATTGTTTATGTAGATTATTTACTAACATCTACGTATTCATTACCACTAGCTGTTTTTGTAAACTACCACATTTACTTTCCTGTAATTTATACTTACTCGGGCTGAACCATGATTATCATGTAACATAGCACTAACCACCTGCTCACCATATTTACATAATAAACTTCGAAGGTAAAGGTAAATCCTAGGCTAAACGGACGGTCTATAAAACAACTTCATCAAACCCTGTGTCCATATTTATGTGGACAAATAAACTCCGTAATTTCATATTACATTGCAGTATTTTTTAGAAGTTTGTCGACATTTATTTTGCTTCAGAAAACTTTTCAAACTTTTCTGGCCATACAATGCGCTGTGGATGACTCTCGTTTGGTCTAACTTAGAATCATGATACTCTATAAAACATGGACTGATTTTAAAAGACTGAACATCCAGTACTCTGTGATGGTTATTCCTGGTTTTCGGCTGTAAGACATGACTTCAAGGTGAGAATATTTAAAGACTTCCTGTTCGATTATTGAGTGGATAAACCGGTACCCAGTAAATGAGTTACACTTGTACTATACATTAGGTTTGGCTTAAGGTCTAGTATATGAATCAGTATTTGGTTATTGATTATCATTATTTAAGCTAATATAAGTTTCATGAAAACCACAGAATAAATACAGATAACATCATGATATAACCATTGAACTCTTATGAATGAACTCGTATTTGATTATTTTATATATTTTTCACCAGTTCATGTTGTTGATTTCTACTAAACTAGTTTAAATGTGTTTCCTTGTTAAGATCTATAATTTCGTCATACATGAGCCATGACAATTCAGCAATAAGCCTGTTTTTAAACACTTATATTTTGAAGATAGTCATTAATTCATTGATATGGGGTGAAGCGTAACCCTGTAGTCTAGCTTCCGAATTAAATTGCCTGTAATTATTTTACGAGTGTTAGAGATGTGGAAGATTTTTTAGAGGTATATGTTCAGAATAAATTTCCATAAAGTATAATTGCCTTCTTTTTTATCCATGTGTCGCTCTCTGACATAAGCATAGGGTTGTTTAAATATTAGGCATACTCAATGACTTTTTAGTTTTATTTGAACATAGTTTAGTGAAAACACAATAAACTACAAGAAACAGTGTCAGTCACATTGATTCAAAAGGTGACAATCATGATAATTGTACTTAAAGTTAATATGTTTAAAACCTGTTTTTTTTAAATACCTACGGTAATTACGGATAAAAACGTAAGAAGAAAAGTAACCAAAACCAAAGGAAAATACTCATTCTATTCCAAATATGTACAAATACAGTATAGTAAACTTTTTATTTCTTGAAGACAAAGGAAATGGAACGAACAAAACAAAGATTATTGATAAGTTCCAATGTATTTATAGTAACAATAATAATAATAATAATAACCAGATGACTTTATTCACCTAAACATTGATGACTATGTTGTTTAAGAAATTTTCTAGTGAACACCATAAGCTATAATCTTTTTGATATTGGTTTGTCGTAATGATTTTACTTTTCTGTATCACTGAGTGAAGTGGATAAAAAAACATCATGAAGATAAGTCAGTAGTAAACTGGTAGTATTCAAGTACTCACCTTATTCCGTGGTGTTTTTTTCTACCAGTTGTTTGGAAACCGTCAGGTGATATGGTAGGAACTCGGTTGCAATGACACCGTTTCATTACCAACTTTTTACATTGTATATATTTAATCTTTTAATAATGAGATCATTCGTTTTGCTGTGATCTTAGGTAAACTTTGTTTATAGTTGTTGATCTCTTTCCATGAATTTATCGACGCACAAGTTTACTTTTATTGCCTAACCTTTACTGGATACATATTTATATCAGTCGGTCAGTCAGTCAGCTACAACGTAGGACCAGGCACATATATGCATCGGTCCACGTTGCCATACCTCATTAACACAACAAGATGTACACCAGATTCATAAAAGTAGTTAATTCAGTGGTAGTAGCATATAAACGAAAGATTGCAATAAGGATATAGTACAGGAAGAAAGAATTAGTTCGTAGAAGTAAAGATATGAAGCAATTTTAATCTCTTAGTTTAAGGGAAGATAGAGAGTGTATACACCGACGCCATTGTGATCGATTCTGAGCCATGTCACCAAGAGTCTCCAACCATTGGTTACGAAAGTCACGCGGACCCCAACCAAGTAGTCTGCATCTACCAACATGGCTCATACTAGAAGTTAGTGACTTCAAGGACTGATGCCAGGTTTTGGTTTGACAGCCTCTAATATTCTTCAAACCGTCCACAATACCGGTTATCATTGCACATCGTGGTAATCGGTGTTCAGGCATAAGTAACACGTGGCCCAACCATCTCAGTCGATGAAGATTCACAACCTCATCAACTGATTTACCATCGTTCCCTAATACCCTGCATCTAATCTCACCATTACTTACCCGTTGATTCCAGTAGATGCGAGCAATATTTCTAAGACATCTGTGGTCAAATATTAGTAGCTTACGAATGTCTTCTACTCTTAATGGCCATGTTTCGCTGCCGTAAATTAAAACAGAACGGACTGCCGCGCAGTATACTCGTCCTTTTATTGATAGACGGATATCTCGCCTTCGCCGTAAGTGACGTAAGTTGGCAAAAGCCAAACGAGCTTTTCGAATCCGTGCTGAGATTTCGTCAGACACCAATCCATTAGGGCTGATCAGACTTCCAAGACAAGTGAATTTGTCAACGCGTTCGACTACTACATACTTAGATTATATGTATGTGTTTACATATTGATCAACTATTAGATACATGTGACTTTTGAACATGAAATAATTACAATCATATTATTAGTATACATGTATACATCCTGACATAGTTATTCCCCATAATTATCTTATTTTTTTACATGTTATGTATAGTATATGTGATGCTTGTTTAAAAATTCACATATTGTAACTTTTGGTATATATTCTTCTTTGAAATTAATATTTTCCTGGTGATTGAAGTAAATTACACCTTTGAATAACAAAATGATTAACATTTCTTAAAATGAGAAAACCAAGGAAAATTAGTCATGATTTAATTTTTAAAACTAATAATTGACAAGTAAGCATCTGAACGAATAAGTTATTGGTTATTTTGTCTTATTTAAAATATGCAGAAATTCTAACCGTTAAAAAGTTCACGGAACTTTAAATGATTTATGCATATATATATATATATATATATATATATATATATATATATATATATATATATATATATATATGCCTTCTATTCTTAGTCGCTAGTCATGTCTAGATAATGATTACTCCGACTCACTATGTTCTATAGAATAGAAGTAGGTTAGAATGAGGTTTAGACAGGTGGAGGCAGATTCATAGAAGTTATCATTCCATGCAATTATTGATTATTCATTTGAACAATTTTATGATTTACGAAATTGATAGTTGTGGTCTATGAGATTATCATGATGTATAATTTCAGACCTTCAGTGATATGGGTGGAAATTTATGATAGATATACTTTTCCTTCATATTATTCTAAAACTTAAGTCTCAATATTAGCTGGTATCTTTCTTCCCCCAGTTTCATTTGGACCTATTTAAATATATTTCTTTTATTCAGCTTTTGGCTACTGTTGATATTATCCTCTTGTCGTAATCACTCTCTATCTTGTTAATTTGCTTTCGTTGTGTCAAATATGAAATGTGACAAATTCCACTGAAGACAGATGTGAACAAAAAAGCGAAAGTAAGAAGTCAAAGAATGAATATTTTACTATTGTTATCATCGAATTTTAACCGTATCATATTGTCTCCAAAAATTGAATACTATAAGTTTGATAACATTTGTTAGAAAGCGTTTATTTCCCTACGCAACATAGACCAAAAGTCAACACTGTCACGATTTTATGTTACCATTAAGTCTGATCATCCTTGATTTTTCCCGACCATTGTTGCTACCTTGACGTGGTGGTCAGGCTTGCTTATCATGATGAACCAATCGACCTGCACTGGCTGGAACAATCGTTCCTCAAGGTCCTACCATATCAGACAGGTCAGTTGAAGAGCGGTAAGACTAAAAGCAGCAAACCAAAGGTCTGAGGGTGAAGTCATACAGAAGTGTAACGGCAGTAAGATGTTTCCTTCAGAAAACCAGCATAATAGCGATGCTGCCTTCCCACAAGTTGGGCTGGGGTTAGAAAAGGTCGACCTCAAAAATGCACACCTCGCCTTATACCACGGATATCCGTCTCCGGCTGTAAAGTCTCAACAAGTACAGAGCTAACACTAAGATTATCCACAAAAAGGTTGTGTGTGGTCGACATCGAGCAGTTATCCCTTGGGCACTGTGGTCACGCTATCAGGTCACTAAGACCACTTTTAATCCAATTTTTTTCACGTACCTCCAGAAGAATCCTTCCATGGTGTGGGCAACCGGGAAGTGATAACTGCCCTCATACCTCTAACAGCATCCATAATCAACCTCCCTCTTCAATTCCTATTAATCCTCCTACATTGACTTTCAACGCTAAACTTCCTTTTTTGGCTTCCCCCTCAAGTGTCATCATAGCCAACGACTCTAGTGCGCAAAACACTGTCCCAGGTCTTCTGAAACCTCGCTCCAAACTACACATTGCTACCTTCAACCTACGCGCTCTGTGTCAAATCGGTCAGCAAGCCTCCTTGGTTAACACCCTAGAATCTCACACCATTGATGTATTCTGTGTTTCCGAAACACGCATACAGGATCCTAGTGTGTTCATTCACTTTACCTCACCTCGCTAAAATGGCGAGCCGACGAGATACACCCTCTGTGTATCTGTCGACCCGATGCTAAGTTCTCGTGGGCCGGTGGGTATAAGCATAGCACTAAGTATG